CAGAAAGCAGTCGCAGGTTTCGCCACTACTGCTTCTTTTGAGTGAGCTGTTATTTTAGGCAAAATTATTCCTATTTATTAACACTGCACACAGGTGCACCTGAATACATTTACACACACGTTAATGAAAAAAAGTATAAGGCTAAAAATGCGAGCAAGGCAAAATGTCAATAATGACGTAGTGATATATTAACATAAAAGTAGTTGATCAACAAGAACCAGCCCAAAAACACCAAAAAGAACGCAAAACAAACAAAGGAATATTTGAAAATTTATCTAAGACATTTAATGTTGCTATCACTATTACAGCTACTTTGTAATTGCATTCTTTTTTCTGATATCATCTTTAAACACCGCGCGCTTCCGAGATTGACATGACGACTGTCATATTCGTCCCTTGTTTTATAGTGGATTGCTCTGGTGTGAATGTGCTGATATCAGTACCAAATAAAGGTCAGTAAGTTTTGGAAGACGAATGTTTATTGACGCTCTGGGTGGCAAAGATGGGTGGATCGTACATTTGCGTACACTTCGGTAAGATAGTACAGATTTTATTTGTGTATGTGTTATCTGAATCGGGCGTTCAATGGTTATAAAGGGCAGACTCAAAAAAGCGTTCAAGGTGTAACTTCGGCTAGGGTTTATTTCTGTCCGTTTTGCATATTCCTGCACTTTTTAATGATGCCCTTGTGGTACATTAGTGCATTGAGAGGACCTATTTTATTCGCTTTACTTTCGGGAAAGTGATGTTTGGCAATATGTTCTGGTCCTCAGGAAGTGGTTGAACTTGCCGGGCTCAAAAATTTTGCGACTGGTCTATCAGGTGTCTTCAAAATACTCCAGGATGAATGCACCGTCAGCAAGAAGTGGTGTCCGCGTCGTTTTTCCAGTGATCATTTACTAGATGCTGCCTGCTCTGCGGAACTAAAACTTCGTTCCTCCTAGGTGAGCATTTGTTATTTTGCAGTCTTGGCCCTCGTTCTCAGCAAAGCTGTTCCTACATGAAGCTGCTTCCACGCTCCTTGTCTTAGCTGCTTGATTGTCGTATCATATAGATGTGACGCATATCCTAGAAACTTGTAACTGGGGTCAAATCAACTCATGGATTGTGTAGATTGTTTACGTTCAAATGGTGGAATCGATAAATATATTTTCCGGTTTTTGAGTAAGAATCGAGAAGACTTAAAGAAATAAACTCAATTGGTGTTATCGAGAAGACTTAAGCAAATAGCCTCAAGTGGTGTTATCATAGTAAATGCAATGGCTGGGGTGTCGTGATCAAGTGCCCTGTCAAATGTACCTTTGCTGCGAATGTATTAAACTGTTTCTACGTATGTCATATTGAGTGTAGCCTTTGACTTTTTTGGTAGGATTTCACTAGAGCTCTGGTTCTTTTCTCTGAATGATTTGTTTACTTGACCTCATTATCACTGATGACTCGTCGAATATGCTCAAACAGGTCGTTTTGAATTCATTTAATGGGAGGTGTTGAGTCCGACCCGCAATATTCGAACCTTCGGCTTCGCAACTGCTTGACTGGATGTTGTTTCGCTAGCCTAATTCGGAACCTCGGCCTTTTAGTTGCTGTGCTTCGAAATCCCCTTACGTGTTGTCCGCTGCGTCATTACAACAGGTTATTTTGCGTCACCTCATGAAGCTTGTCTTCAGTGTTTCGTGCTTGAAGGTTACAATTCAAGCACTAATGGCGTGGTATTGTAGAGGCTTTAATGAAAGTGATGCCATTACTATCCATTGAAAGGTCTCCTACGATTCATTCTTGAAATGCATTCTGAAAACTGATGGAGGAGTTGATAAATGCTCGATGTGTTTGCAACACATGAAAGCTGGTCTGCTGTTCTTGAGGCGGAAGTATGGTGATGGTAGAGATGCCATCGGAATAATGTGCTCAGGCCATTTTTGGCTGTAGGCGGTCTTTTTTAATCCATCCTTTAAATTAGTGGCAGTGCCGCCGAAAAGCCTCCGCTTCAGGTTTGGACACAGATGCTCAGTTTGTTTTCCCATTCCCTAACCCACGCCCCAACCCCTTGGTCCTCATATCAACTGGTCTTATTATGGATCCTTGTGACGTCCAAATCGATACATGTGATGCATTTGTGGTGCACTAGTCATTCCTCCATTCTTCATGTCAGGCGGAGGTGAATGATTGCGAGGTGGCTACAAAGAGTGAAGAGAGTCTTCCAGAATCTACCTTGGGACGCGATGCAGGTCTATTCCCGCCCCACAGCCAGCCATCTGCAAAGCTTATAGCTAGCAGAAATATCTTACTTTGATGACGTCTCTTGCGAAGCCTTGGAATCGGGCAAATAGTAAGTGTTACTTTTCTGTTGGTCTGTTTGTGTGTTAAGTCATCCACCCCTTTATTTATTTACATACTTCTTGCTTATTTATTTCCCCAAATATTCACTTATATCTGTGCGTCTATTTGCCTCGGGGCATTTATTCATCTCCTGTTTATTTTCTACCTCTGTCTTCTACCTGTCCGACACGTTTGAGCAGGCAAATGGTAGATGGTGGAGTGAGGAGGCCTGACGACAGGCTTAGATGAAAATGGGCGCTCAGGAGAAAATGAGCTAGTGAACTAAAGTTCTGGACCCCTAATTCGTGTAGTGGTGGAAACTAGATGGTTGGTAAGGAACTGAAGCAGATGCGTAGAAAACTACGATATTTGAGGCTGGAACTCGGTAATAGGAGAGAAACAGGGCTGTTTTGTGGAGAATTGGGATCTAGGATGATAATAGTTGGGAACTT